TTTTAAATTTGTTACCCGGGGTTCTACTGTACTTTGTGGGCTTTATGCTGCAGGCTTTAAGGGAGCGGGCCAACCTAATGCTTTTGCTCACGTATCTCATTTTGAAAGCAAATACCGGTTCCTGTTTAAATAGCGACCAATAGCGGAACTGATTCTTCCTCGCACCAGCTATTCTAGGCTGGATTTGATCACCTTGTAAATCTTTACACGAGGTTTTTTTTACAGTATAACCAACGTAAAATGTTTAAATTTGGTAGAATATTTACTCTAAGTAAATTTTCCAGAAGTTGGGTACCGAAGTACAGAATACAAATTTAATGATAATAATGATGATGATGATGATGATGATGATAATAACATAAAATAATAAGGTTTTAACATAACTTGGTTATAAGTCAAGAAGTCAGTCTAAAGAACCCTGTGTTTCAAACAGAGAAGTTAATATTTTAAAGCGGTACTTTTTTTTACTCCGTAGCAAATGACAATTAAACATGATGAAACAACAAAATTAAACTAAATGAAGAAAAAACTGCTGCGTAAATAAATTCTTCTAACGTTCTTACAGTTTTTGCAGTGAAGTGTCAAGGCCCTCTTCGAAGAATATTCAAGAAAGCGCTGGACGAGGGTGGACATCTATTCAAGTTCTATTTTAGGATACTGCATGCATAATTACTCATCACGAATACATTATTCCGGGGGTCCAACGTTCAGCTGAGAACAGAATATTTGTATTTGCTGAACACATCGTCGTCGGGGCGAAAAAAATTGTAAATTGTTTTTAGAAATAATTTTGCTTTGAGTTCCTTAAAAATAGTTTAAACAGGGAAGAGCTTAATAAAGAATGGAAAGAGAAGATAAGAATACTTGTTGTCCCGGAAAATGAAATAGAACCTCGATAACTCGAACTCCTTTCCCTTGATCAAAATTTCACTAAAATTTATCCTGGTAACTCGAATCCCCCGCAAAATCGAACTGTTTTTTGTCTCCCTTCAGAGTTCGAGTTACCGGTGTTCTGCTGTAGGTGAAAAGATAAGGCGTGAAAATAATCGCCGTTTTTAGTCTACCAGTAGACACTGAATAGAAATATTATAGAAAATTGGCCTATCAGAGACATTTTTAAAAATTTTGCAATCAAATTATCAGCATTCTTCAAGACCATTCTTCTAGTTTGATCATCTCGAATTCTGACGGATAAGAAACAAACAAAAAAACTTGCATAGAAATAAAATTTAACCTCTCTACAACGGCAACCTTGGGGAGAGAAGAGTAGAGAGATGGCCGCTGTGGAGATGAGACCGTCAATGGAGTTTCTACTGTACCGCATTTATCAGGCCAGAAAATTGTGAATTCATGACTATATTAAACATTTGCCATTTTATGTCCTTGTCAATATAAATATTGGGCTTACTGGAAGAATTGCAGTTTTCGTTAATTCAGGTTAGCAATCGACAAAAATAATGTGCTAATTCAGCTGTTTCTCGTTACCAATGAACTGCCATAATGTCTTTTCGTTGGGATCTAAATATACTCGACAGCATATAAGGTAGAATTTCAAAACAAAGAATCAGTGATAGCGAAAGTGTATATCTTCTATCTACAATTATTTTATTGTTTCAATACAATTAACTGTGGTGAATATAAAAATTGCCTGCCAATAAATTTTTGTCAAGAGGTTAAAAGAGAAAAATATAAAGAAAGGAAATATCAAAGGATTATGTCTACTTTCCCCGGCACGTCTAGTTCCCACTAACGTCTATAATAAGTAATTGGTTTGTGGTCACTTGCCATGAGGCAATTGGTTTTAAGTTAATCTTAGTTGATTGGATATGTAGCCTGCTGGTTCGTCTGCGTAGCATGGAGGTTTTGTCGAGAGCTCGACTGAGCGGCGAAGCCGCGAGAAAAATAAAAACCGACTCCAAAAAGCCCCGCGTCCGTGCAGGCGGTTTTTAAAGTTGCCCCAGCCCCAATCTCCTCAAATTCCTTGCTCTCTTTTAATATAGCGATCGATCTCGGACCGAGTCATAGAATCAAGGCTGGGGAGCCCATTGGGAATACCAAGGGCATTTATATAAAGTTAATGTTGTATAAGCAAGACAGATCTTCCGCTATAGCTGAGCCATAGCGTAAGTAACTATGGACATTAACACCTGGGCTGGGTTGTTCAAAGCTGGGTTAAGATAACCCAGGGCTAGTGTAAAATTTGAATTCAGAGATGAAAGCACAAAAAGCCAACTCAGTTTAATTTTTTGTCTAAAACTTGACAGTGGAAGGTCTAGAAAATTATCGGATAAAATGCTCTTGAACAAAAGAAAAAGAAACCCAGAGAAAATTTAACCCCACGTTGGCGCTAACCGACCTTCAAACAACTGGGCCCTGGAGATTCAAGAAAGCGCTCGTAATCCGCAAAATAGTAACGGACACTTGTTATTCGATCGGCCACAAGAAAATCTGCGGTAAGAAATGATCGAGATAATTAATCAAGGGGAAACTGGTGTTAACG